AAAAAAAAAAAAAAAAAAAAAAAAAAAGACTCTAGAGCAGGAGGGGCCAGAAGGAACGCTGATGTGGCACCACTGTGGTGAGCGAAGCAGAGAGTGGTACTAAGTGAGGTTATAGAGAGCTCACGGCACCAGAGTTTACAGGGATTCAGGTCTCGGCATTGGGAAAGAGTCTGGAGTTTATTCTGAAGGCAAACCAACATTGTTTTTTCAGCATGCATCTTTAAAAAAGAACATTTCTCTGCATAGTGAATCTTATCTACATAGAGAATGAACTTAATAATTCCATTATAACCAAATACCCAGTTAGGCCAACTTCTCTAATAGGTCCCCAAAGGACATTTTGTTGTTTTGTATAAACCAGGATCCAGTCCAGGATTCATGCACTTAATCTGGTTCTTACGTTCCTTAGATCTCAATCTCTCTCTTTTAAAATAAACCTTGTATTTTAGAACAGTTTTAGAAAAATTGCAAAGATAGTACAGAGTTCCCATATATGCTGCACCTAGTTTCCTCATTGTTATCGTCTTACATTAGTATGGTACGTTTGTTACAGTTAATAAACCAATATTGATGCATTATTACTAACTCAGGTCCATACTTTATTCAGATTTGTTTAGTTTTTCCCTAATAATCCTTTTACTGCTCCAGGATTCCATCCAAGATACTGTGTTACATTTAGTTGTCATGTCTCCTTAGGCTCCTCTGGGCTGTGCCAGTTTCTTAGACTGTCCCGTTTTTCTGGATGACCTTGGCAGTTTTGAGGAGTACTGGTCAGGTCTTTTGTAGGTTTTCCCTCAGTTGGGGTTTGTCTGATATTTTTCTCATGATTAGAGTGGGATATGGGTTTTGGGGAGGATGACCACAGAGGTAAAGGGTAAAAGGCCATTTTCATTTACATCATATCAAGGGCATATGCTATCAACATGACTTATCACTGTTGATATTAACCTTGATCACCTGGATGAAGTAGTGTTTGTCAGGTTTCTCCACTATAAAGTCACTCTTTTTATTTATTTATTTATTTATTTATTGGCCATACCTTGTGGCATGTGGGATCTTAGTTCCCTGACCAGGGATTGAACCCATGCCCCCTGCATTGAAGCATGGAGTCTTAACCACTGGACCGCCAGGGAAGTCCCTGAAGTTACTCTTTATCCTCCACCTCCCTCCCTTTCCATATGGTGCTGTTTGGAAGGAAATCACAGCATCAATTATCTTATATCTTTTTTTAATATAAATTTATTTATTTTTGACTGCTTTTGGGTCTTCGTTGCTGCGCATGGGCTTTCTCTAGTTGCGGTGAGCGGGGGCTACTCTTCGTTGTGGTGCGCGGGCTTCTCACTGCAGTGGCTTCTCTTGTTGCGGAGCATGGCCTCTAGGCACGCGGACTTCAGTAGTTGTGGCACGTGGGCTCAGTAGTTGTGGCTCGTGGGCTCTAGAGCTCAGGCTCAGTAGCTGTGGCCCACGGGCTTAGTTGCTCTGCGGCATGTGGGATCTTCCCGGACCAGGGCTCGAACCTGTGTTCCCTGCATTGGCAGGCGGATTCTCAACCACTGCCCCACCAGGGAAGCCCATCTTATATCTCTTTTAATCATTAATAGACTCTTTTTTCCTAACACTAATTGTTGAAGGATCCAGACCAGTTCTGCAGAACGCCTCACCTTCTGAATTGTCTAGTTGCCTCTTTATGGTGTCATTTCGTTTGTTCCTGTAACTGCTTTATTTCCTGTAACTTAGAAATTAGATTGAAAACTTTTCTAGAATCAGGTAACACACTTTTTTTTTTTTTTTCATGAATACATCCTGGGCAAATGTGATTTAAATTTTTGAAAGGCCATCCAGGTCTGCCTCTAATTTGTGATATCTGGGACTCCTCTTACTACGACAGGCCTCACACATGTGTGGACATCCCAGCTTCACTCACAGCCCCACAAACACTTGCCTGGTGGCCACTCATTGGACTTCAGCGTGTGCACACAAACAGCGGGGTTCACCGCTGGGAGTCAGGATGCAGGAAAGAGGCCCATGCAGCTGGGGGAGCAGGTTTAGGAACTGGAGCTCTGGGTATGGGGGAAGGGGAATGGGCTTTGGGCAGGCTCCCTGGACTCTTCAACCTATGGAGAGGGCCAGAGTGAGGCCCTCGAAACCTGGGCTGGGGGCAGGAGCCCCGGTTGCCCAGGTCTAAGGGTGGGAATAGCTCATGTCTCTGCCCCTCTGGAAGATTATTATGCTGAATAAATATCGTGAAAAATTGGTCACTTTAAGATTTCTCCAGTGTTAGTACTCCATCTCCTCCCTTTTTGGAACTCTGCCCCAGAGCTTCTGCCGCCTGAGTGGTGACAGTGACCCCTGCAGAAGCCCGTGGCTAGGCCTCCACCTGAGAGTGATACAGCTCCTTCAACTCAAGCTCTTGACTCTGGAGAAACCTTTGCTGAAAAGAGCAGTCTCCCAAGGCAAGTTTTTACAGGATCAGGAAGCAACTTTCCCAAGGCAGGAACACTCTTGAGTTCCTGGCCCACTGAGCTGGGAGCTTTGCCAGAGATCAGGGCTGGGCCTGGGTTCTTGCCCTCCTGGGCAGCTTCCCAGAGTGGGTGACCAAGCCCTGGACCTGGAGTCCACGGTCCCCACTTCTCCACTTTGTAGCCAGTCTTTGTGGATGAGTCCTGTCCCTTCTCTGAGCCTCATTTCCTCACCTGAGCCTTGTCTGCCTCGCAGGACTGTTGTGGGGAGCAGAGCATGTGCGCGTGTCTGTCTCCGTGAAGGTATCGATACTTTGTCTAGAATTGTTGGTATCATCTCCAGTTTTACTTTTCACAGCCACTGTTTCCTTCTCTTCTTCTTCTTCCCAACGTCCCCAATCCCAAGAGCAGCAGCTTTCTTAGCATTGAATCTCCCTCCGTGGGATCCTCTGGACATTAAAATTCTCTTGTATTTATTGTGCATAACTTAAAAGGAAAGTCCCAGTGGTGCTTAGAAGCCTATTTTGTTACTCTTGCTGTTTCCTTTTCTGTTAACGTCTGTGGTGCTAAATGGGAAACACTGTCGGTGCTTATTCTGTGCTGGGCTTTGTAGCTTTGAATCTTTTGTCTCTGGTGGCAGATCTGAGATGGTGAATCTCCATGAGATCAGAGTGCCTTGCTTACCTTTGTCACGTCTTGAATGCTCAGGCCTTTCGGCCTGGGACGAGGATGGGGCCGGGGAATGTGTGCAGAGTCCCGGCCATGACCTCGTGCTGCAGCCCTGAGTGCGTTTGGCTCTGGAATAACTGCCGGGTTCGATTGCCCATGGCCATGGTTTGGCAGAACCAAAACCAATGTTGGTTTGTTGGCAAGGAATATAGAGAGTTTGGTAAGAGTGGGGCTTTGGGGTCAGGCAGGCCTGGGTTCAAGTCCTCGCTCCCCGACTTAACTCTGGGCCTGTGATTTCCCTTCTCCCATTATCGGTCAGGTGGGGGAGGATTAAATGAGATAAAGTGCCTGCAGCTGCAAGGTCCCCTAGGTATCCAGACCCCTTTGAGGATAAACAGTTCCCGAGTCTCCCAGAGAGGTGAGGTAGGATGGGATAGTGTCTTATCACCCACCTGTTCCAGGGATTCGGCCCTTCTGGAAAAGCATCATTGAATGATAGGAAAAGGTATGAAAGTTGATCTTTATCCTCACAGTGGGTGTCCGGGTAGTAGTAGGAGGAAGTACCACGGGGAGACAGGCACTGGTCAGGCCGGAGCCACCCTCATTTGGGATGGGGGATAGGAAGCGGGTGAATTATCAGGAACCAGATAAAAAGCCAGGATCCCAGTAAATACTTGAATGAGCGAGAGAATTCAGAGCTCATGCCCCAAATAAAAACTCTGGCAGGCTTTGGCATTAATTTGGGAGTGTTGGACTGAAGCACCATTGGTTGATTCTCTGGTGTCTTATATGCTGTGTGTGCACACCTGCACCATTCTAGATGGTGTATGGAGATGTAAAGGAACCAGGAGATAATTCTCTGCTTCCATGAAAACTGGCTGAATCCTAGTATGTCACGGAATACTCGGCAGTTTTGTTACTACAACAGAATGCAAGTAGGTGGCCTCCCACGATTCAGGTTAAATCGCTTTCCTCTGTTCTATTTCATGCAATACCT